CACTAGATGACCTTGGCTCTCTGAGCCCTAGGGTCCTCACCTGTAAAATGGGTGAGAGGATAGAAAGCAGATAATATGTCCCTGAAGGCTGAGAGGTCACTGGGGTTGCTGTACCAAGGGACATCTAGGGCCTAATGCAGCTAACTGCTCTCTCCACATGGAGGACTTGTAGGCTGCTGAACTGGCTGATCAGGCAACGCTCCATGAGCTTGTTAAAATTCAGACTCCAGGCTTGCCACAGCCTGCAGAGGCTGGATTACTGCCTATGGGACCTGTGCACTAGCAACTACAGAAAGCAGTCAGTAAGACACAGAGCCTGGGTGGCTCTGATCTGCAGAAGGCAGATGGCACAGCAGGTTCTGCATCCACCCCGAATGCCTTGTGAGATAGGAAGGGACCCTGGGAAGAGTCCACAGCTCCAGTGAACATCAGAGCCAGACACCAGGCCCCCAGGGAGCAAGGCTTTATTTGCATTCCCCAGGACAGGGTGGAGGAGGGAGTCAGGGAGGGCCAGGGGTCAAGGACACACCCAGTTTCAAGGACTGGGGTCCCTATCCCCTGCCTCCACCCCAGGCCCCAGCTGCGGTGAGAAGGTGGGCACGGGCAGCTCCAGGTGAAGGTCAATGTCTACTCCACACCCTTCATGAACTCCAAGAATTCTGTGGAGAGAGAGGAAGGTGTGGGTTACAGGTAGGGGCCTGACAGGGCATGGACAGCAGGGGGATCTGGCCTACCCATTCAGCCACTCACCATCATAGTCTATGCGACCATCATTGTTCTTGTCGCCATCCTTCATGAGCTCCTCGATATCGTCCTCCGTGATAGTCTCACCTGTAGCCTGCAGCATCATCTTCAATTCCTCCAGGTCAATGTAGCCATCAGCATTTCTGTAGGGAGGATGAGGGGGATCTCAGAGCCCAGGGCAAGGCTAGACAGAGCAGTGAGCCAGTCCCACCCCCAAACCCAGGAGGCAGGGCAAGGGGAACTAGCATACGGAGCATCCCTGTGCCCTATCACACAGAACGGGAGATAGAAGCCACTGAGTTCCCAGGCTTGGAATCTGAGACTGTCCCTCTTTCCCAGCTCTGTTTGGGTCAGGGCGAGAAGTCAAGTGCCAGTGCTCACTTGTCAAACATGCGGAAGAGGTCAGAAAGCTCCTCCTCAGACTTCCCTTTGCTGTCGTCCTTCATGCATCGAACCATCATGACCAAAAACTCATCGAAGTCCACTGTGCCGCTGCCTGGAGGTTGGCAGTGTGGCTGTTAGAGAGGCCTCAGTCGGCCTGCCCTCCACACAAACCCAGGCTTCCCTCCAACTCTGTGAGGCTCGAGTGGTTATTATGCCCACTTTATAGATGAGATGACTGAGGCGCAGAGAGGCAAAACAGCTCTTGTATTTAAACTCTCAAGTGAGCCAGAGAATTATGGGTCTGAGGCCCCAGGGGCTTACCATCCTCATCCACTTCATCAATCATCTCCTGCAGCTCCTCAGGTGTGGGGTTCTGGCCCAGCATCCTCATCACCTTGCCCAGTTCCTTGGTGCTGATACAGCCATCCTCAGCACCCAGCACAAAGATGTCAAAGGCAGCCTTGAACTCTGCATCCAATGGCAGGGGTTGGGGGAATAGAGTAATCAGGGCTCAATAGCCAGGACCCCAGAAAGCCAGATCCCTGGGGCCACCTGCCAACCTGCCCATCTCCTTTCTGAGACTTTTCTGAGGTCACAGTGAAAAGGACCCCCAGCTTTTCATCTCCAATCTAGGGTTTTCTCCTGATTCCCCCAGCCTGGCCTCGCTGTACCCCAATATGCAACACAGGGGTCACTTACCATTTTTCTGCTCTTCTGTCAGCTGCTCTACCTATAGAGAGAAAGGAGTCTCAGGACTCAGACTCAGTCCTTAGCTGCTGCCAAGGAAACCAACCCATTCCATAGGCAGGAAGACTGAAGCCAGAGGAGGGCACAGTCCTCCCTTCCTGCCCCCAAAGTCCTAAGGTGACCCAGCTGGCCTCAAAGGGACTAGGCTCAGGGCCAGGGTGACAGGTGGACACCCCTTCCAGGACCAAGGTGACCCCTGAGTAACAATACCCAATGACCACTCCCCTGCCCTTTCAGCCACCCTAATGAAATCCAAGCTGCATGGCCTGAGAGACAGCTGTCCCTCAGGTTGAGACAATAAAACCAATGTGGGGTTGAGCAAAGCCACCCACTGTAACCTGACCAGGGTGGCCACTGGGCTATTTTTACCAGGGGACAAAGTTAAACCTGGTGATTGTTCTGGGACTTTGGCATGCAGGGGGTGGGGCAGCGTTATCTGGCCCCCTGGCCTGCTGGTGCTGCCTTGGGAGCCAAAATTAGTCCCCAGCCTGCCAAGCCTTGTATGGGCACTGAGTGGAGGGCTGCTCCCTTCCCCAGCTCCATGGACTCCCAAGTATACGCAGGAGCACCCCTGGAGCCAGCTGTAACCCTTCCTTGTCTAGAAGTCAGACCATATTTTCGGGGGTGAGGGGGATCTCCTGGAAATAGCTATCTCTTGAATGTCTTTGTCTCTGGGGAAGGGGGAGGCTACCACCCACCCAGCATTTGAAGCCCCTTAGTGAACCCTAGAAGGTTGCAGGGACTTGGGGTGTCCACTCACCAGCCCTTTCTCTCTCACCCAGTAAAGCCACTGAGCCCTTGGCCTTCCAGACCCTAAGACAGCTATGGACTTAGTTCTCTCTTCCTTCTTCCCTCGCCTTCCCCAGGCCCAATCCTTCCCTATCTGGAACTTCAAAACCTCTTCTCCAGCCCAGGATTCAGATTACACAGCACCTTCTCACAATCCCCTTCCCACCCTCCAAAGCATCTTCAGTCAGCTAAGGGGCTGGAGGTGGGTGGCAGATTGTGAATGACTGAGAAGCAGAGTGTGAGGGGTAAAAATGGGGAGTGGGGACAGGGTGGCAGCAACAGGAACTCAGAGAAACGGCTCAAGAGAAACAAAGAAATGAAAAGAGACTGAGAAAGATGAAAAAAGATTCAGAGAACAGAGACAAATGTAGAGATGTGGCTGAAACAGAATGACACAGACACTTGGAATCAGAGCAGGAGACTGGATGCTAAAAGATGAGACCTCCTCATCTGCCCACGCTGACATCTCCTCTCCAGACCCTGAACCTCTCACCTCCTTCGCACAGGGGAACACCAGCCTCCCCATCCCCTTGAGAGCCTAGGCTAAAGATCTGTGAGCTCTCTCAGGACCCCATCACTTCCCTGGGAAGACCCTGCTCTCCAGTCTAAGCTAAATGAGCTCCCAGTGGGCCTCAGCCCTGCCCAAACCCGTCTCTCACCGCAGCCTTGTAGATGTCATCCATGCCAGCAACTCACAGGACAGGCTCCTGGGTTCCCAGCCAGCCCTCCAGCCTCAGCTTAAATAGCCCTGCCCCCGTTGCATTCCCAGCCCAGCCCACCACTGAGTATCCTCCACCCCCTCCCCTGGTCCTGGTGATCTCAGGCTGGCTTGAGTCCCTGTATCCTCTGCCCAGGGCAGGGAGGGATAAAGGGCTACAAGGACCAAGAAGGGGGTACAAGGACCAAATTTCTTGCCCTCTGTCCACCATACCCCACAGGAGGCTCTCAGGAAATGTTTCTTGAATGAATGAAAACCTGAGTCCAGACTCAGGCAAGAACTGCCAGAGTAGTGGGCCCCAGGCCAGGCCCTTAAGCACAGAATTGCAACTTTCTATCCATCAGGGAGGTGGATGCTACCACCCTCAGTTTCCAGATAAGGAAACAGGCTCCTGGAGCAGTGGCAATTCACCCAAGATCTGGTTGACTTGGCACCCTGCCCCCTTATGCTATACCTCTGGTGGAACGGTGGGAGGGGGGTCAATGTGCAAAGAGTTGCAGTGACTATAAGGCCTTACCAGGAGAAGCTTTTCAAATGCCAAGTTCAGCGCATGGTGATACGGATACTGATCTAATGACAAAGAAGCTGACGACCCACCTTAATACAGGGTGGTCTGGAGCCCTTTAATCAGAGGTGCCCTGCTCCAGACATTTCATCTCCTGGAGGATAGCAGTGCTCGCTTTGGGCTTGAATCAGCTACATTCAGTCACTCAACAAATACCCCTACAGAGCCCATCTACGCCCAGTTGTCTCCTTCCTCATCCTCCAGTTGGGTTACCACCTCCTTCTTCAAGGTCTTCCCCTGGAGGGCTGCTTCTTGACTGGAGCACTATAGTTCCTGGGCCCAGGGCCATCATCTGTGGGACATATGCCCAATGGCGAGCACACACCCCTTCACTCCACCTACACCCCTGCTTCATACAGATCCCACCTTGATACGAGCTTCCTGCTTGTGAGCACTGCATGAATTAACCCACTCAATTCTCCGCAAGCTGTATGTGACGGAGGAGATCTCCGAGTGTCAGAGGTTAAGAACTGGCGCAGTCACTTTGGCCCTCCCCGGGGGCCCTCAGCACAGCTCCTTCAACACTCTCCTTCCCCACGGGTAAGGAACCCAACGGCCAGGCGAGGCGCAATGACTGCCCTCCTCTTCCAGGGGTAAAACTGAGACCAGACGGAGCAGGGACTTGCTTGAGTAGCTCGGGAAGCCTAGGACCTTCTTGAGGACCAAGGAACGACCACCACAGCGGCCTGAGCACAGGGTCTCAAGCTTATTGCGCGCGGAGCGCCGCAGGAAGCGACCACACAAGCGAGCCGGCCCGCGAGAGCTGCGCACGCGCGCCGTTGGCGGTGCTGTCAATTACGTGCGAGAGGCGGGACGAGGGCGCGAGAAAGCGGTGGAGCCAAGATGGCGAC